TTGAAATTTGGTATGCTAACAGAGGAGGATGTGTTGTAGCAGTATATCAAGTTTAATCAAGATTGGTGTAAAAATTAGGGAGGGAGAAGGCTCTGGAGTTTTTCCAGTGCCTGTGCTGTTTTCCATATATTGCGCAATCGCATCCGCCGTTAACAAATCGATTCAGAAGTTTTGGAAAGTTCTGATTTTTTTTTTGTGGAAAAATTCGGAAGTGACTTTAGAATCTAATCACCAGCACCCCCTAGATCCGAAATGAGTTTTGAACTATATTTTTATCAATCAAGCCTATTAATTAGGAATGGGGAAAAGGGAGCTAGTCACCCGGCCAGTGCCTGTTGTGTTTTGCCTCAAGGAACCCTGGTGGAGCTTTTCTCCATCAGGGCCTCTTGAGGGAAAATGCAGCAGATATTACATGTGTGACTAGATGGAAGTAGGTAGCTGGATTTCCACATAACAGAAACTTATCCTGCATTTTAGATCTCAAGTTCTTTCCATGCTAAAAAAAATAAAAGAAATCTGTATGTCATGTGCAAAACTGTGCTGTAATTATTTTTCCTCCACCTTGTGTTATATTCATGAAGATCAAGAACAAATTTGCACTCAGAAAACGCTCTTACTAAAATCTTTCCTGAACACTTCCAGTGACAAATATGACATATTTGAAAGTATATTCCTATACATAGGAAAGTACACCAGAAAACACTTCGGCCTAGCCTTTACTCTGACCTGCTATATTTCTAAATGTAGGGTGTGTAGAAATGGCAGAAAGTCAGTCAGGCAACATAATGGATTTTGAAGTATAGTATCTGCAGAAACTTTGGCGTTTGTATAAAGTGAAAGTTGAGTAATGTGATTTTATGGGTTTTGCTGAAATATCCTAAAGGCACTAGGTCCTCTCTGAGCTTGGAAGGTAAGCAGAATCAGCCATGGTTAATATATAGATGGGTGACCACCAACAGATACCAGTCGATGTAGGCTATATTTGAGAGGAAGGAACTGACAAAACAGCTTCTGGGTATTCGTTCCCTAAGAAAACCCTGTGAAATTCATGGGCTCACAATTAAGTCCACAGGGGACCCGAAGGCACTTACACAAAAATACATTTCATTTAGAGTAGGAAAGAAGCTGATGGGTTAGAAAATGAATGTCAAATTGCCTTGTTCATGGCTGCTGTGATTTTGGTGTTGTACAAATGCCTACGAGAAAATTATATACAGTCACGTTTATCTCTAATGGTTACCTTGCTCTATAATTTTTTTAAGGTTGTAAAAATTGGCAGTTGTGTTTTGGTATCAATAATCTCATGACCAGGGTTGTTCTATTGTTTCTACAAGTAAACAATAGATACTACCTGGTATATTACAACTGAGTTAAAATGTCAGTTGTAAAGTTGTGAATTGAAAAGGGTCATGGGTGCACTTTCATAAACTCCACATGATTTGATTTTAACCCAGCTTTGTGTGTAATGGAAGAAGTAGTGGTGGTACTGTTTCATTAATTAGACAAAGGCCACTAGGGGGCACTAGAGAGAGAAGGAGAGTGCATTTTATGAAGGGGGAGCTGAAGGAGGAAACAATTTTCCCCATTTTTGCTGGTTGTGTCCCCTCCCCCCATCCAGTATCATAAACAATGGTTGTTTTCACAACAGGGACATGGCTAGGGGGAATAACAGTAAAACAGGGGGAAATTGTTTTCCTCCTTCAACTCATCCTCCACCTCCCATAAAATGTACTATCATTCTCTCTCTAGCACCCCCTGGTGGTTTCTGCTTGGATAATGGAACAGTACCAAAATAGTTTTGGGCTTAAAAAAATCCAAATCAGCCATTATTGATTCCCCCCCCCCCCAGTTTCTAAATAAAGAAGAATTCTCATAACAAGTCTATAAATTAAATTAGCCTCAGATTTATAGATGGTTGGACTGCTTCATGAAAGGAGAAGAACAAGTAGCACTAGCAAGGTGGAGAAGAGGAGCAGTTTTCTTTTTGTTTTATGTAGATGACTTGATTTAGCAGGTACAATTCAGCTAAATCCTCTTTTATCCTAGTTATTTTGCTCCTTTAAAATGTCCTCCTTTCCTCCTCAGTTGCTACAAACTGAGTTGAAAGGGAAAATGCAGTTTGCAGTGAGAATAGGACAAGTCTTGCTGCATCCTCTCTTACATTATATATGTTCTTCTTCAAGAATAACTCTGCCATCTTGACTACATTCTGATGTTGCTCAATCACACATATCTTGGTTTTCATATGTGAAATGTTAGAGGGCATGGGATATTTAGTTAAAATTTACCATAGTAAAAATGGTAAAGTTTACCTTATAAGGTGGCATAGGAATGTATCCTGAATTGGAATGAATCTAGGGACCAAATTTGGGCCTTTCTGTCAGACTGCCTGGAGGTGTTTTAGCCAAATACGGAATGATGTGATGCTATGGTTGCCCCTGAAATTTTGCCTTTGCACAAGTTTTAGCACCACGGAGGTTTATGGAGTATAGTGGGAAAACTTAGGGTGGGGCTTTCACAATGCTATTGCTGTTGGCAAAACCCATTACTGCTTTCTGGCTAGTGGTCTTTCCCATTCATAGTAGAGTGTGATAAAATGCTGGCAGCACAACTTTATACTGAAAGATAAAGTTGCAGCTCTGGAAACTTGCAGCTCTGGAAACATTGTCCTAATTCCTTATTTGTGTATGGTGTTTCACTCCTATGAAGTTAGCTACTCAGCAAAGTCAATTATATTTGGCTTGATCTCAGTGAAGGTTATAGTTTGCTCTGGTTGGAAGAGATAATTATGTTTCCCTTAAAAATGAGTAACATTTAAATCTGTGATTAACTCATCATTTAATTCAGAAAGGAAAGGTTTCATATTTTAAAAATTGTCTGGTTCCTTTTCTGGTCATAGATTTTTTTTACTCTGGGCAGATTTTGAGTTTGTTTTCTTTTAATGAGAAGAAGAAACCAATTAAGATATATTTATTCTGCAGTGCTGCACTCACTTATGCCCACTTAAGCATTATTGATTATATTGGAATCTAAATGCATGCAACTGGTCAAAGGGTTGCAGTTGTAAGCATTATTTTTAGGTCTTTTTAATGCTAGGGGCTTCCAGCTGGCTGACTGCAAACCACAAAGACTGGATTTTTTTTTTGTCTTCCCAGCAGAACATCAATGCTAGCAGTGTAGTGGTAAATATTCCTTTGCATCCCCTGCAGCTGTAACTCCAACTATAACCCATAATCACACCCCAGGAACTGCTTTTTCCATCCCCACTTCTTTATATTTTAAAGAATTTAATATGCCATGTTAACATCCTGGATCAAAACCCATCATAAAACACAGAGACATGACTGAAACCCTTTGCAAAGTTACTTGGCAGTGAGCTCCATTTCACTCAGTGATGCTTATTTCTGATAGCATTGTGCCATCAAAAACTGTTATCAAAAATATTCAGTACTCCACAAGGGCATCCTTGCATTTTCTGAATACACGTAACCAATCATGCAAAGACACATAGACATTTAAATGGGGGGCATGGAGTTGCAACTCCGCCAAAGAAAAGAAGTTTATTTGTGAGCAATTTATTCATTCTCTAGCCCTTTTGGTGCCTAATAGTCATGAGTAAAACCTAAAAGCTTCATTATCACTTGAGAGCAAGAAAAGTATGTCAGATAACCTAGAATGGCACCAGGGGAAGCAAAAAGCAAACAGTCAACCCCTCCCCACCCCCCACCCCCCCAAAAAACATGGTGGAAGAATGGAAGAGGGGGCAGGCTGGTTTACTGCCCTGGAAACTAAGACTTAGAGCAATGGGTTCAAATTACAGGAAAGGAGATTCCACCTGAACATTAGGAAGAACTTCCTGGCTGTAAGAGCTGTTCAGCAATGGAACTCTCTACCTTGGTGTGTGGTGGAGGATCCTTCTTTGGAGACTTTTAAACAGAGGCTGGATGGCCATGTGCCAAGAGTGCTTTGATTGTGCTTTTCCTGCATGACAGCGGGTTGGGCTAGATGGCCCATACGGTTCCTTTCAACTCTATGATTATATGATTCTATGAATGTTTTGTTTTATTCTTCTTTAGCACTGCCTATTAGTAATTCAGAAATTCCCATCTCTCCTGCCAATAATGTTTACAGGTGGATTAAAGGCCACAATTAGCTTTCTTCCCTTCACATGCTAGGGAGGAGAGAGAAATTTCCAATAGGGCATGGCTATCATAGGCATGCAGCCTGCCCCTGCAGCTCATTCTGAGCTCGACGCTGCTGACCAAACCTCCCGCCCACTTAATTATTTAATTATTATTTGGTCACCCCTTGGGCAGGGTATAATTATTTGGTCACCCCTTGGGCAGGGTAGGGATATTTCCCTCTCTATGTTCTGGGGGGGGGGGGGTTCATTTACCCTATACTGCTTTCAAAGGGCAGTTTGGAATTGTGTTTTTTAAATAGGCCATGATTTGGGAAAACAGCGATGCGTTTACACTTTGGTGTACACCTAAAACACCACTTTGTGGTGTAGGCCAAGATCAGAAACCCTCACCTGTGGTTGAAATAACCAAGGTGAGGGCAAACAGAAATGACCTTGGAGCAGGAAGAGTTTTGGCCTTAATAAATCTTACTGAGTGTGGTCAGAATTCTCTGTTACATTCCCCTGATTGATTGCCCTGGAAACAGTACAGTTTATTACATTTGGGGACCCAGGAGTTTTGCCCAAGTTAGCCGAGGAGTAGGTCTTGGATGGCCACTGCCTTGGCTTAATCCACACCAAGTTTATACCCCCCCCTTTTAGAAATGTTTTGCAAGCCACAAAAGGTAAAATAGGTAACATTAATAGAAGTTGCCCATAGTTAAACCCATATTGTTGTGTGGTCTCATTTTTGGGGGGATTGGATGGCAAAATTCTTTTTTGCTTAGCATATGAATGAAAGCTGGATTCTGTTTCTCCCTGAATCTTGGGCAGCTCTACAAAAAGGTAACGCTGATGTGTCTTTTGTTTACCTTTGCAGGTGAGCCTTCCAGGTGGTCTTCCTCGCACTGTGACTGCTGCTGCAAAAATGGTAAAGGGGACAAAGAAGGTGAAAGCGGCACATCCTGCAATGAACTCTCCACCTCCAGCTGCGACAGCCAATCAGAAGCCAGCTCCCCTCAAGAGACTGTGATCTGTGGTCCTGTCACCCGCCAGTCCACTATACAGACTCTGGATCGACCAATCAAGAAAGGCCCGGTGCAGCTACTTCAGCAGTCCGAAATTCGGAGGAAAAGTGACCTGCTCCGAACTCTCACTTCTGGCTCTAGGGAATCCAACTCTAGTAAAAAAAAATCAGTGAAAGAAAAGCTTTCGATTGAGGAAGAGTTAGAAAAATGCATCCAAGATTTCCTCAAAATTAAAATCCCAGACAGGTTTCCAGAAAGAAAACATCCTTGGCAATCTGAACTGTTGCGAAAGTATCACCTATAGGAATGGCATCAGGGAAAGGAAAATCACCTTCATTACAATTTATGGAACAAGAGTCTACATGATAAAAGAATAAAATAATACTGATAGTAATTTGTTAGGTCACAAAAAAAAAATCCATTGCTAGAGTACTGCCTAATTTGCCTGATTCACCGAAGCATTTCAAGTCACATTATATACAATCTATCTATCAATCTATCTGTATTTGAATATATATATTTTTATCTCCTTGAAAGAGGAGAATTAACAATGCATTCAAACATAACTTACAATGCCACATGCACATGGAAATCAATCTCTGTAAGACATGTGCAGGATGACTGTGGCACAGATAGAAAGGGGAAATTTGTCCTGTGATCTGAGCAGAGCTTGTGTTGATTGGGTGATGTTCTAAGCTGCATGCCTTCTTGAGTTCTCTTATATTGTCATTCCTTTGAAGAGAGGGCCAGGGTGGTCAAATGCCCATGGTTTTGAAAGAAAAAAATGTCAGTTTACATCAGAAAATAGTGTATATATAAGTCTCCTTAACATAAACATCCTCTTCCTTTGAGCTATGTGTTCCCGCCAATGGAAATACCATAGATCATTGGGTGATCTATTAACTTCTATAGAGATATGTACAGTTTAAGGCGTCGCCCCTTTCTTTTTTCTAGTCTTGATTACAGGTGAGGAAGGATATCAGAATTGGTCATTTGCACATAAGGGATATTGATGGGCCACAGACTGCTCAGCTTAGCAGAGAACATCTGAAAATTCAATGTTGCCATGCAGAAGATTACGTGAACAAAATAGTAATTAGGGCTTTTTGCATTCACACAAGAATTACACCTATCACTTCTTTCAGCTTTGGTGAGTTTAAAAAGAAGGTATAAAATGCCAACAAGAAGAGATTCAGAAATAAAAACTTCAGAGTTTTAGTACGCATGAAGATACAGCAATGCATATGTATTCTGAATTGTTGCCAGGCAGCACACTTCTTGTTTAACTGGGCTTGCTACTGTGTCCTTAGCAGAAACCTGATATGTACACAGAAATTAATTAAGGAGCTGTTTTCTTGGGCAGAATCCATTGCTTGTCCCACCTAGAATAGACTCATTGACAACAGTGGATCTTTTGTCAGTGGGTACAAATCAGGTCCATTCATTACACTGGGTCCTCTCTAATTGGAGTTAAAACTGTTTTATCTTTGTACTGTAAAAGATTTCTTGTTGCAATGTTTGCGTGTCAGGTGATGTCATAGAGTGGTGTCAATTTTTTTAAAAATGACAGCCCTAACCGAATCCAAGATCAAGATACTGTTGCCTTATTTTTTCCCCAGTAGACATTGCTTAAAAGAAGTTAGGATCTTTTTTTTTGTTGTTGTTGTGTGCCTTCAAGTCATTTCTGATTTATTGTGATCCTAAGGTGAAACTATCATGGAGTTTTCTTGAAAGATTTGTTGAAAGTGGGTTTGCCTTTGCCTTCCTCTGAGGCAAAAATAATGTCACTCAATGGATTTCCAAGTAGGGTTTCTAATACTGATCTCCAGAGTCATAGTCCAATGCTCAAACCATTACACCACACTGGCTCCAGTATCAGGTCTAGCTGTGTGCAAAAACAATCTTTTAATTTTTATATCTCTATATAATTTAGGCCATTTTTCTCCGATTCCTCATATTATAGAGCTCTCATATTTTCCATGTGTCCTGGAAATAAAGGACGAAAATGGAGGGGGCAAATATAAAAAGGAGATCTAGATTCTTCTCACTTCCCCACTTCCGCAGTACGGGCAATGCTTGGTTATTAGGCCTGGGTAACAACGGAAAAATTTGTTTCTAAAATCGATTCGTTTTTTGGGGTTTTTTGCATTTCAATATTTAAAAGAATTCCGAAATTTTCCTTTTAAAAAGTTTGATATTTACGAAATTTCGTTTTTCGTAAAATTACAAAACAATATGAAACGAATACGAAACGAATACGAATCGATTCGTTAATGGCGGACGCGACCGCGCAATATGCTAAAAAACCTCCAAATGGGACAGGGGGAACTTCTGAAGCTTCCCTCTCCCTCTGTTGTTGACTGTTGGTGTGATATTATTAATTTTTTTCACTAATTAAACAAAAAACAACTATAAAACTTGCCCCAGACATGCGGAAATAATAACGAAACGACCTCAAACCAATAACGAAACGAATACATAACGAAATACGAAGCATTTACGAAACGAATTGAAAAATTCGTTTCGTTTTTAAGTTGCTCCAGAATGGTTCGTTATCGCTTCGTTAACAAAAAAAATAACGAATTTTTAACGAATTACGAATTAACGAAACGAAACCGCCCAGCCCTAATATCAAGCTAAGTTGGCTATTAATATGAGTCTGCTAGTCAGTGTTGCAAAGACAACTATGAACCAAATAAATGTTCAGAGAGAGAATGGGCTTCCACCCCTTTTTGACACAGATACAATTAGAATAAATTATAGGCCTAACAAGATATATTTTGCACTCCGGCTTGCAGGAAATTGATTGTTCGAGTGATAGGCAGCATGCTGCTCTGGTTGCATGCATTGGAAAAAAATGAAATTAAAAATTGAAAAGCATTCAGATGCACTTAGCTAATGGAGACAGTGTTCCTAGCACACTGGGAACTCCCTTTAAGGAGAATAGCTTTATTTCCTGGCATATTCTCTACCCTTCACTTTGTAATGAATGAAAGGTACTAAAGATACATTGCCCATGATAGTGGATATCACTTTGGTCCATCCTCCAGAAAAAAAGATTCAAAGCACAAATATTCAACATTCCTTTAAGATCTTACACAGTAACAGCCCCATTATGCAATCTGTTTAGTTTATCATGTGAGCATACAGTTATTCATTCAAGTCCTTACCTTATGTAGAGGATCTCCAGCTTGTTGCTGGATGAGATCTAGATTTAGCTAGTTCTAAGTTATTGCAATCTCTTGTGTTTAGAGTACTCCTGACCAGGCCCGTAGCCAGGATTTTGATTCCGGGGGGGGGGGGGGGGGGGGAGTTTGTTTCAGGGGGGACTGAGTGTGAGTGAAAGAGGGTCTACCCTAGCAAACCTTTTGTATCATTACCCCAATACCCCCATGCATATGGGATATATTGAGTATGGTGATCAGATCATGATATGAATAAACATAACAGTTTAAATAATGCACCAGTAAGGCCTTTTCGCGAACCACCATGAGAATTTCAGGGGGGGGGGCTGAAGCCCCTCAAGGCCCCCCCCCCCCGGCTACATGCCTGCTCCTGACTTGTTAAAGTTTCACTGAACTCAGTAGATCTGTTCAAAGTCTGCCTAAATTTGGATTCAACCAATTATTAGCATTTCTTAAATGTATATATCATCTTTCAAGGTGATCAAGATGGCATACACAGTTTTCCCTCAGCTTTAATTTTCAATGTCAATAACAACCGTATGCTGCAAGTTAATTGAAAGAGAGTAACTGCTCTCCAAATTTACACCGGATGCTGTATTATGCTGGGTCTGAGTGTGTTTGGGATGCAATATTTCAAGGTGTGAGAAGAGAATTGTTGGGAAGTTTAGCACCAAACTGCATGGAATGCAGCTTGGTCCCAAAGGAAAGCTCACTAAAGATGACAGCCCATTTTTTGCTCATTAGGACAGAGCTTTAAAAAACTAGTGATGGAAATATGTAAACATCAATGATTGACATTTATAGTGCAGAGCAGAAAAAAAGATGCTGGTGTGTTGAGTCTCTCAGGGAACAATTTCCCTTGATTTGCATGTCCTTCCTACTAATTACTGGATTTGAGGCAAAACTTTCTATATCTATTTGTATATTCTCATTTCTTTTTTACGTCTAGTTTTGGCATAGCAAATAGCTTCCAAAGGCAAGTCCTAGCATTCATTAAACGTGGTCTCTCTTTTGCTGTAAACTGAAAGCAAATGGTAGTGTCAAGTGATGATTAGCATTAGTGACATTTTTAACAAGCTGTTAAAGAAACCATTTATACCAGAGAACTCGAGCTTACACCAATTTAGTTAATTGGAGGTTAATTGGCTTAAACTGACTTAAATCTGGGCCTTCTGGAACACTTTTGCAAACCAGTCTGGAAAGCTCAAGTTTTACAGATGACAGTGTACTTGACAGTACTTCAAGGGGAAGGTGTTCCATGGCATACACATGGTATTCTGCCCTGTTAGATGGAGCACAGTTCCTAAATTATTTTCAGCAAGGCTATACCAAGTCTCCTGTCTTTATGAGTGCAATTTTCCTCCCACAATTTTGCAACTAAATTATTTATGGGGATGGAGTTGCAAGTGGATCTGCAGAGGCAATTAGGCAGGGTGAAATTTTACTTTCAGTCAAATATAGTCAGTTGTCTGCATGCAAAACGCAGACAGAGCAGAGTTGGGCATTGAAGCTGACTCACCATACCATGCACGTCTAAGGTCAGATGAAACTAAACACTCCATTAGTCTATAACCATGATTGAATATAGTAATCACATGTTGTCATATTTCTAACCCATCCTTTATCCAAGGATCTCACAGCAATTTTAGTTCTTTTCTGTTTTCATCTCAAATCTAAGAAGAGGATGCAAAAGGGGATGGTTCAGGATCTCCACATAAATATAATGGATGTGTTAGGATTTGAACCATTCATAGTTTTGATGCTGTAGTCATTACACCACAAGGGAGGTTTCATGGGACAAGTGTTGATCACATCTCTTCAGGTAGAGAGGGTAATGTTTGGATAAGAAATTATTAGTCTCTCATCCAATAATTGGTTGACTGTTGACAACATAAGAAGAGACCTGCTGGTTTGTCTACCAAAGAACTCTCAACTCCATCATTCTATTTCCATAGCAGGCAGATATGCCAGTGGGAGGCCCATTTGCAAGAGCAATAGGACCTTCCTACTTATGTTCCTAAGCAACTGCTATACAGAACCACAAACATTCCCATGAAGTTGCACCCTGGGAAATATTATATATGTGAGGAGTGAAAAGGAATACCCATATGAGCTGTCTGCAACATTTTATCCACTTGTAATTATTACTAAGTGAAAATGGGTTGAAAGACATGCCAGAATTATTTGCCAAACTATTTGAATTTTAAGACCATAGCAATGGAAAATCATATAGCATCAGAACATACCTGCCCTTGTTGTTTTGGAATAAAGAATAATTATGTACTGTGCCAGAGATCAGAAAAGGATGAATATATTAACATTCTATGAAAAATTGAGATGTGGATTTTCCTTCATGGAAGATTAATCAATGGCTGCTTTTGGGCATCTTGCAGAACTATTACATTGCAGTGCATGATAGCTTTTGTGATGTCAGGGATACTTTGATTGTGCTTTTTCTACATGACAGAAGGTTGGACTCGATTGCCCATGTGATCTCTTCCAACTTTATGATTCTATGTGTGGAACTGGGAATCCCCCTTTCTCAAATACCAATGATTGGTACTATATTTGTGCCCATTGGCTATAATTGTTTCTTTTCTAGTGGCAACACAACAAGGACTGGCAGCCAATGGCCCATGGACCACCACTTTTAGGTAGCAGTAGTGTAAGACATATTAATTCAAATTGATTTACCACCTTATCATACTTACCAAAAAAAGCGTCCTAGGATGTTTTGAATGTTCTTCAGGGACGGAGCCCCATGTCAGCCATCACATGACATCGTGTGACTACCAACTGAGGCCCCGTTGAAAGTTGGGTGATGCTTTCCCCTTGTGATGGGAGAAGCATCACTGTGCCTGCCATTTCACCGTACTTGCTGGCAAAATGGCACCCGGGGGCGGGGGGGGGGGGGTCCCTGTGTGTGAGAAGGTCACTAGGCAGTTACTGAGAGGATGGAAATAGGATATACATACTATTCATCGATTTAAAATATATGAGTTCTTATTTAATAAATATATGAAGGATAAATAAATATATTTATTTTTTAAATATTTAGTAAAGAAATAAATATATGAAGCATAAAACAATCCCCTTTTCCATTAGGTGGATTCAAATAACCTGAAAAAAACTTTTAAAACAATATAATGCTTTCTCAGTTCTTGTGGGTTTTTTCGGGCTATATGGCCATGTTCTAGAGGCATTTCTCCTGACGTTTCGCCTGCATCTATGGCAAGCTTCCTCAGAGGTGAGGTCTGCTGGAGCTGGGAAAAGGGGTTTATATATCTGTGGAATGACCAGGGTGAGACAAAAGGCTTTTGTAAGTTGGGCTAGGTGTGAATCTTTCAACTGACCACCTTGATTAGCATACAATGGGCTGACTGTGCCTGGAGCAAACTCTTCTTGAAAGGTGATTAGATGTCCCTGCCTGTTTTTCTCTCTGCTGTTTTAATTTTAGATTTTTTTAATACTGGTAGCCAGATTTTGTTCATTTTCATGGTTTCTTCCTTTCTGTTGAAATTGTCCACATGTTTGTGGATTTCAATGGCTTCTCTGTGTAGTCTGACATGGTGGTTGTGAGAGTGGTCCAGCATTTTTTGTGTTCTCAAATAAAATGCTGTGTCCAGGTTGGTTCATCAGGTGCTCTGCTATGGCTGATTTCTCTGGTTGGAGTAGTCTGCAGTGCCTTTCATGTTCCTTGATTCGTGTTTGGGCGCTGCGTTTGGTGGTCCCTATGTAGACTTGTCCACAGCTGCATGGTATACAGTAGACTCCTGCAGAGGTGAGAGGATCCCTCTTGTCCTTTGCTGAACGTAGCATTTGTTGGATTTTCTTGGTGGGTTTGTAGATTGTTTGTATGTTGTGTTTCCTCATCAGCTTCCCTATGTGGTCAGTGGTTCCCTTGATGTATGGCAGGAATACTTTTATGCTTTATAATGCTTTAATAATTATAAAAATGCTTTATAATGCTTTAATAA